ATCTGATTTCTGTGCCGTGGTCTCTATGCTCTGCCAAAACGCATCTCCAAAGGGGTAACTTTAAAACCAGTAATTCTCCTTGATGAGTCATCATTGATCCTCCTTCTGCCCAGCCTCCTTTCCTCTGCTCTTCCTCCTCCCTAAAGCATAGTTCAACCTCTCTCTGTGGGGTGTGCACAGAAGCAATAATTTAGGGATTGCTCCCAATAGAAAGGGATGCAGCAGCAAAGTTTAATAGTGGGGATAAGAAGGGAATCACTGGAGGCAGCAAAGGATGAACCCTTGAAGTGGGGATCTGCCATTCTAAACAAGAAGTGAGAACTGAAGAAGTCAGGATGTAAGATTTTGAGGCTAGTCCTACCATATGGTAAAATCATATGGGTGATGGAGGATGGGTGGATGGAACCTTGGAGGTCTTTTAGTCCAACCCCCTGCCCAAGGCAGGAGAGCTTAGATCATCCCAGACAAATGGTTGTCCAATCTTTTCTTGAAAACACCTAGTGATGGAACACTCACAACTTTGGGAGACAAGATGTTCCATTGATTAATTGCTCTGTCAGGAAATTTCTCCTTATTTCCAGGTAGGATCTCCCTTTAACAAGCTTCCACCCATTGCTTCTTGTTCTGCGCTCAGGTGCTTTGAAGAATAAGTTGACCTCCTCTCTGTGACAGCCCCTCAGGTGCTGGAAGACAGCTATCACGTCACCCCAGTGCTTCTCTTTGTTAGGCTAAACATATCTAGTTCTCAAAATGAGCTCATTGCTTCAAGCAATAGATGCATCAGAGGGGCAACTCCCTCCTGTTGGAGGACAGAGTACAGGTAGTTCTCGATTTATAACTGGTTGCTTTAGAGACCATTCAAAGTTAGGACTTACCTGAAAAAAGAGACTTCTTACCCAGCTCCAACATTCTGATGATCAGTTCCATTCCAGCCCCATGACTGCACTTCAGGTGCTCAGTAATACAGCCACATTTACAGCCATTTGGAGCATCCTCAGGTCACATGAACACATTTTACTATGGTGTTCATTTAACGACTGCTCCAAAAAAGTCATGAAATCAAGCCAGTCATTGCCATCATGGGTAGAGTTTGGGACTGTTTCATTATCACCTTGGCCATTTATTTCTCCATTTCTGCATTATTGATAGGCACATCTGTTACGATGAAACCCTGTCAAAAATTGTGATTTAGTGGCAGAACTTCTGTTTTGTTTGGCACTTATCCAGAAGTTAGCTCAATCAATATACCAGAATATAGGCATAAGGCATCTCAAAAAAAGAAACTTGGTGCAGACTTACACATCTGCCTTGCACACTTGGGCATGGATAATCTAAAGACAAATAGAGAGTTGTAGGGAAAAGCTCATGTTTCAATTGTGGAATGTTTTAGTCACTCATACCTGAATTGAGGAAGAATTGAACACAAGGCTTGCTGGCTGCAGACTTCTGGGAGTTGAAGTCCACATATCTTCAACTGTTAAGGTTGAGAAACACTGTAATACTTACAAATGTGAGAATTTTTTGAGCGGCTGATGCTTACAGGGACAGCTGTATGCCCAAATGTTGCTCAGTTTTGTATTCTACCCCAAACTGGCCGTCTCTAGATAAGTTGTGACTACAAATCCAAGAGTTGCAATCTCAATGTATTTGTAAGACGTCTGGATGGGTGGGAGCTTTTAGTGTATCTGAGCAAATATATTGGCTGTGTTTACACAATGACTTTACCTAGATCAGTTACAGACCAAACAGACCCAGTCATACAACAGGCTCGACTTGGTTAGTCTCAACCTCATTTAGCTATTTTTCAACTCAAATTATTGTACATACTCAGCCCGTTTAATTATTGGACAGTTCAATGCACTATGTAAATCCAGCAGATGAATTAGTTCAGGAACCACGTCTCACAACAGGTGCATATTTTCATTCTTGGAATTATATGGAGAATCCAAACCTTAACAGCTTTTGTTTGCAAAAGCTTCCCCCCTTTTCTCATTGCTCTCCAGCTTTTTTTTCTTTTTCCTTTAAACAGGAAACTCTTTATCAGAGTGTGAGAAGTCTTTGGAAAGGCAAAGTCAGACACCTGAAAGCATGTTTTGTTTCTCATTCCAGAGTGTTGCAACTCTGAGGTAAAACTCAGTTACTTTTAAAAAGTAATCTGATGCTAAAATTTAACAGGGGAGGTTGTCACTGCCTGGAGATTAAAAATACCTTTTCCTTGGCCACTTCAGGTCCGAGGTCTCCAAATTTAACTTATTATAAAAAAATGCAGTACAGGTAGTCTTCAACTTCTGACCACAATTGAGCCCAACATTTCCATTGCTAAGTGAGGCAGTTGTTAAATGTGTTTTGCCTCATTTTACAACCTTTCCTGACATCGTTGTTAAGCGAATCACTGCAGTTGTTAAGTTAGTAACATGGCTGTTAAAATGAATCTGGCTTCCCCATTGACTTCGCTTGTCAGAAGGTTGGCAAAGGGGATCACATGATCCTGGGAAACTGCAACCATTATAAATATGAACCAGTTGCCAAGCATCCAAATTTTGATCATGTGACCATGGGGATGCTGCAACGGTTGTAAGCGTGAAAAACAATCATACATCAATGCCGTTGTAAGTTTGAGCGGTCACTAAACAAATGGTTATATGGCGAGGACTACCTAAATTTTAAGTTACTGTTGAAAGCTATTGTATTTCAGAGACTGAAGCAGGACCCCTGAATGGTTTACATTTTGTTTTGCTCAAGGGAGATTGTAGAAAATAACGTTGAAGGAAGGTGCCCTTAGATCAGAATGCAAACAATAGGGAGCCAATGGCAAAACCAGTCAGCCTCTTTATTTGTAATTATCAGAAAACAAACCATCTATAAATTAGCATGAAGACCAAACAGATCATTCTAAAGTTGATTTCTTTAAAGAGGTATCTGCCGGGAAAGACTGTATTGGTCAAAGCCTATATTGGCAAACCTGTGAGCCAGGACTGTGCCACGTTATGACAGAATGATTTGCTGTTGTGGGTGTGTGTTTTAATGCACGTAGAAAGTAGCATCTTGAGGAGGCCTGCCTAGGACTTTTTGTCAACTTGCTTGTTTTTCATGCATGTACAAGAAATCTTCTCTTAGGAGAGAATATGTCCCAATGAAGTCTGAAGGAGTCAAGACAGCCAGCCTGAAGATGACACTTCCATACTGGTGGTTCTATAAGGAATTTTCTCCTAAGTCTGCCTCAACTAAGAGTGTGTGTTTGCAGAGAGATCCTTCTTGGCTGTGCTCCAATGTCTGGGATTTTTTCCACTTCCCTGATATTTTTCTACTATTTGGAAGATATGTGGGTAATCTCCTTAGCTCTGGGTGCTCATGGACAGGGGAAACATGAACACATTGACATTTAAAAAGAATGAGTTGGAGGATTCTACAGTTAATGGTCATCAAGCAAAATAAATAAATAAGCTAAGACTAGGGAGAAAAGTTCTTCCTCTCCCCCAAATGAGCAGCCCTTCCCTCAAGTGTTAATTTCTAGCTAAGTCTTTCTGTACCATGTCTGTGGAGATTCTCAGCCATCCAGGTCATGGTTGTCCCAAAGGTGCTTTTTTCAAAAGGCAACTGGACTTTATTTTTTCTTGAAGATGTTTCGCTTCTCATCCAAGGAGCTTCTTCAGTTCAGCTTCTTCTTGGATGAGAAGCGAAACATCTTCAAGGAAAAACAAAGTCCAGTTGCCTTTTGAAAAGGCACCTTTGGGACTTGTGCATCACGGTTGTATCAAGTGTAATCAAAGTAACAAGGTTGCATCATTTATTATGACAAAGGTTGAAACCTGTGACCATGTGACCACGTGGCTGAATCTTATTGCCCATTAGCCTCTGCCACCACGGCCAATGATAGACATCTAAAAAGGGCAGGAAGTTGAACTACATCCTCCAGTCAGCATGGACAATAGTGAGGCATCTGGGAATTGTAGTTCAGCAACACTACAGTGTATATTCTGAATTTTAAGTGTTCAAAGATGGTTTGTGTGTGCCTGAAAAAAAATGTGTAAATATAAGCAAATTATATCTCATGGATTCATGTTCTCACATCATCAGAACCTGTAGTGGCAAACCCAGTTTACTTTATGTCCAGACTGAAATGCTTCCCCTATCTCTATAAACATGTATTATGAAATACATCAAGTGTATCTATAATCTCAACATACATATGACTTGAGAGATCCCATCCTTTCATTTCAGTTGCCCTTACTAATCCCTACCAGTCCCATCTAAGCTGGCTTTTCTTGGCTCACTTGTTCAACTCGTTTATTCACCTATTCTATACTCCTCTTTCCTCCTGAAATATCCCACCATGGTTCTGAGCCAGGATGCAAGTAATCTTGCATTACAGGAATGCTGACCTGGTATAAGAATAGATGCTTTGTGGGCCTCTAGATGTTGCTGAATTAGAACATTCAACATTATGCTCTTGTCGCCTTACCAGTTAAGATTGCTAAGTTGCAGTTTAGCAACATCTGGAGGGCCAAAGATTGCTCATCCCCATTGGGCTGGCTGTCTAGTACTATATCACGAGGCCATTTGTTCCTCTTAATTTGCATTGCATTATTCACAAAATATTAACTAATCCCACATTTGGTAGATTAATAATCTGGCTACAAGAGAGTGAATCAGATGCATTCCCTTCTTCAGGTTGACTTTCTGGATTTTTGCTCCATCCGTAGATTTCAGCACCTCCTGGTCTATGATCCAAACCAGAAGGATTCCTATATATAAAGAAGCAAACCTCCTCAACACAGCCATTGCTTCAAGGATCAGCAAAAAAGAAATCAAAAACTAGCTGGCCTCAATGAGGCTAAGGGCTGAGGCTTCCTTTGAGGACAGAGCTGCTTGTTAAGAACTTCTACCCCAGCTGAATCCGGATTCAAAAAAAAAAAAAAAAAGGCTCCCATGCACATGGCAGGTGAATGGGGAGAAGCTGCCCTCAGAGATTTGGGGGGGGGCAGCAGGTCCTTAAGGTCTCACATAATGGTGCATCGGTTCCTCCGCAGGGCCCCCTGGAAGCGGATGGCAGTGTGAACGTGCTTACATCGTGCGCAGCCCACACTCTTCAGAAGTTCACTGAAGAGCAAGAGGATATGCCAGTTGTATTTGGCTGAGCACTCAATGTAACCACACTTCCATGTCTTCTTCACCAGGTTGGAGACATTCCAGCGGGGGATGACCCGGCCTTTCTGGAGGTCCCGCTTGTTTCCAACAATGATGATGGGAGTATCTGAGGTTCCAATGACTCTGGCAACAAAGAAAGGAGAACGTCTTGTGAAGAATCTGGAAACCCAAGCCCAGGTGGTAGAATAAGAGGAACAATAGGAGGGCTAGGTATCCTTCTGGCCACAAAGTCTGGGAATTATGAAAACTGTAATCCCAACCAATTCCTTCCTAAATCTCTGAAAGACCCAGCTACAAAACATCACCACCCAACCACCCAACCTTTGTTTTCATAACATTGGCCAAGGTTATTTTTTCCTCAACTACTTTATCCATGAAGGTCAATAACTGGGAATGTGTTGGGAAAAGTAACATGAAGTCTCTTTTGAGATTATCATTGCAGGGAGGAAACCCTAAAGGATGGCCACCCCTGGAAATATAGGTTACGTGGGCTGAATGACATGTGGTTCAGTCAGTCATAAACCTCGGGCACAGGGAAATAGCTGCAGTTGGGGAGGGTAGAAAGTATTGACTTGACCTAATTTACATTCCTATCAAACAGGTCTTGTTATAAGCAAGGCAAGGGCTCTGCTACTGGAAAAAAGTTAATAATAGAATAACAACAATAACAGAGTTGAAAGTTCTAGTCCAACCTCCTGCTCAGGCAGGAAACACTATATCATTTCAGACAAATGGTTGCCCAATCTCTTCTTAAAAACTTCCAGTGTTGGACCATTCAAACTACTGGGGGCAAATTGTTCCACTGATTCATTGTTCTAACTGTCATGAAATTTATCCTTAGTTCTAAGTTGCTTCTCTGCTTGATTAGTTTTCATCCATTGCTTCTTGTCCTGCCTTCAGGTACTTTGGAGAGTATGTTGACCCGTCTTCTTTGTGGCAGCCCCTTAGATATTGGAAAACTGCTATCATGTCAGCCCTAGTCCTTCTTATTAAACTAGACATACCCAATTCCTGCAACTGTTCTCTATATGTTTTAGCCTCCAGTCCCCTAATCATCTTTGTTGCTCTTCATTGCACGCTTTCTAGAGTCTCAACATCTTTTTTACATCGTGGCAATCAAAACTGGATGCAATATTCCAGGTGTGATCTTACCAAGGCATTATAAAGTGGCATTAACACTTCACGTGATCTTGATTCTATCCCTCTGTTAAAGAAGCCTAGGACTGTGTTGGTTTTTTGGCAGCTGCAGCACACTGCTGGCTCATATTTAAGTGATTGTCCACTAGGACTCCAAGATCCCTCTCACAGTTACTACTATTGAGCCAAGTACCACCTATACTATACCTGTACATTTGGTTTTTCTTTTCTAAATATAGAACCTTACTTTTTTAACCATTGAATTTCATTTTTTAGATAGTGCCCAATGTTCAAGTTCTACAACCCTTTCCCCTCCCCTTGCCTATCCAACAACCAAAGCTGAACCTAAAGAGCTCTTTGAAAGCAGTGGACAACCATTTACAGAAGCTGGAGGGATTTCAGTGGCTTTTTAAAGAGCCCTTGTGTCATACTCCACTCGCTTTCCTTCACTTTGTTAAATGGAGATTCCTGATTTTTGCAGGATGCATATCCTAATCCTGTTAAGTACCAACCCTGAAGTTACTCCAAGCAGAAAGAGGTTGACAAGGACTGCACATTCTCTATCTGGGGATTTGTGCTGCTTTCTAAAATTCTTGGCATTAGCATCTGGGTCCCTTCCCTTCTATGATCTCAAGTCCAGGGTGGGATGAAGCAGAGGCATATTTTTACCTTGTTTCTAGGATCTGCTGCCTAATAGTTTTGACATACTCAAAGCTGTCAAAACAACAGATGTCATAGACCAAGATGTAGGCATGAACACTCCGGAGGCCTCGGCAGCACACGTCCGCCCACTCCTGCAACACAGACACAGAGAGGGACAGATCAGGGAACACACAGCACACAGCTCCACAATGGTACCACCCAGCCCACCCACATACCCACAGCTTGCATCAAGGGGTGGGGAAAGTTTGCTCTCGTTGAGTATCCAAATGCTCTGATCAATTCTTAACTAGCAAGAAATACTGGGGGCGGGACAGTGAGAAAGAATCAGAAAAGGAAGACCTCCAAATTCAGTTCAAAAATGGAACTAAAATTAAATAGAAAACCACAAAAAGTAGAGCAACTAGCCTTAGAACTGTCAATGGTGATACTGAAGTGATAGGTAGTGTCTTGAGTTTTAGAACTGACAGTCAAGAATAAAGGTGTCAATAATCCAGAAATATGTCACTGACTAGCACTTGGTAGGATACTTGTGAAGGGCATGGAAAAAGATATTCAGATGCTGGGATGTTTGTATACCTACAAAGATCGGAATTATCTCAGCAATGGTCTTTCTGGTGACACTTCATAAAAGCAAAAAAATGAACATTGAAGTTAAAGTTTTGGACAGAAAGAGTTTTTATGTATTTTGAAATTTTATAAAATGTTGAAGATGTTTAAGAATACCACAGATAGTCAAGAAAAACAAAAACAAAAATGTATCATAGAGCAAATCAGTTCAAAGTTCTAACTTGAAGCAAAATGATTGAGTTTAAATTATCATGAATGAAGGCGAATATACGTGTTCCAGGATAATGTTACAAGATCCAATCTGGGTTGGTCATCGGGACCAGAGGTTTTAGTCCTCCAAGCTTTTGGATTTGGGCTGGAGCCCTTCCTTAGGGAAATTCTCTTTAGCAGAGCTTTAAATTATCATATTTTGGGCACATAATGTGAAGTCATATCAGTATAGAGAAGTTCATATTGCTGGGAAAAGTAGAAGAAAAAGACAATCAGCAGCAAGGTGGCTGGATTTAATCACAGTAGTGAAAGTGTATCACTGGAAGAACTGAAAGGCCAGGCTGGGAACAGATCTTCCTCGAGAAGATCTATCTGTCAACCTATAGCTAGAATATCCAAATAAAAGTCCAGGATTATTTTCACATCTGAAAAGCTTACTGTTTATTGAATACATGGCTTGGAAAAGGCAAGGTAAAACTAACTCTAAAATCCCAAGGCATCAGACCATAGCATATACGGTAACAAACCCCCAAGATCATGTAAACAAGTTCTCTTTGTTATGGGACCCGTCTGCTAACTTCTTCTCACCTGCTAGAATGTCCTTGAAAGGTTCCCATACTATCCGCTCTCAGCAAGCTTCCGTAGAACTGGAGAGGTTTTGTTTCTCTAACCATTCAAAAGCAATACCTCCCCCCAGCCCTTACTCTAATGGCAAGATGAAAACAGAGAGGCATGTAGCTGCTAAATTTTTACTCTTGACACTATCTATGTGAGGACTAAGAATCAACACTGACCTGATGGCAGATAATCAGTCAATCACTTAACAGTATGACTGGTATTGCCTACAAGGGTACAATGTCCTCTCTCAAAAATACTCTGTCCCAGATAATAAAAACAACAGTACAATGGAGATCTCAGTATTAAGTTTAAGACTATAACTAATACTTTGATATGAATTGCAGTATTTCTTTTTAATGCTATACTTAACTTTGGATGAAAAGTCAAGTAATCTTATGTTTGTAATACTGACATCCTGAATTACAATTATTACTGATAGTATTTTTACTCTTCTCTTTTTATTTTCACTACTTTAAGCTTTCTAAATAATAGAATGTTCATAATTTTAATCATAATACATAAATAGTACTGCATTGAAATTTGCATTGGAATGATACAATGTATCAAGATTTATTACATAAAAACAAAAACAAAAAAACAAAAAGGCCATAGAATATAGGACTGACATTAATTGACATTATAATTTTATCACACCCTAGCAAATGTCAGTATATTAATATTCAGGTTAAGAGTTTAATTCTTGTATTGCAATTCACAAATGTGAACCATGTTGCTTCTGTGTTTTATGGTACAGAATATATTACTTGCTGTTCAAAAATCCAATACACAGACCACTACTTAGATTATTCAGTTTAATAAATCTAAGGTTAAAAAAATAACTCTTCCATTTTTTTTAGAATTAGTTTGCATTTATTTCATGGGTAAGATTTCTGTTCATGTACTGCAGAGCTCATTTGTACTAGTAACTGGTGAAAATCTTTTCAACTCCCATTTTTAATGAGGGCCTCTCCTTTTTTCTCCATTATTTTCAATGGTTAAAAACACCAGGATTATTATACTGGGTAGGATGAGGGGATTTTTTCCCCTCCATGCAGGAAATAAGTACATTATATATTCATTAAGATCCATATTTTACAGCTTACTAGACAACCAAAAATGACTAAGGTTGGGCAAAAAAGTAATGGGAATAGGAGCAAATTTCAACTTCCTGACTCTTCCCTATGGAAATCTGGCAGGGAACATGAGAAATCTCTCTCTCTCCCTCTCTCTCTCTCTCTCTCCCTCCCTCCCTCCCTCCCTCCCTCCTTCCTTCCCCCCTCCCCTTCCATATTGAAAATATAGTTGACATAACCACAACAACACTCCAGCAGCATTCAGGAGCTTCTAAGCAGCTACAACCTCCTGAAATATCATTCCCTTGGGAGTCATAGGAAAAACCATAAATGAATATAAAGATAATAAAGAAAAACAGTAAACAGTGAAAAGAGAAATAGAAAAGGAAAATAAAAATATAAAGAAGCAGCTTTCAATCTTCTTGAGATTGATTATAAATGCATTTATGTTTTGACCTCTCTCTCTCAAGTTATATCATAATTTCCTTCTTTCCATAAGCTACCCTTTCTAATCATCAAACCCATAACACATAAGTTCATTTTTTTCTTTTTTCAGCAAAGGAGTCTCCAGTTACTCATAAATGTAATTGCTGATCTTTATTTAACCAAATTTTGCCGTCTCTGCTTCACCAATCATTCTTTCAGTCTGGGTATTTCAGAGTCTTCCCATTTTTGAACATATACGGTAATAGTCTTGCAGCAATAATCATATATAAAAATAATCTTCAGTGGCTCTTTTCTAATTGACTGTCCCTTAATCCCAGCAAGAAAAGTTCTGGTTCTTGATGTTCAAAGTTTTTTTGTATCATTATAGGTATTTGAACCCAGGCATGATATAATGGCCATTTATGTTGTCCACATTTCCAACATACATTTGAAGCATCCTTATACGTTCTAGAATAGTATTTCTCAACCTTAGCCACTTTAAAATGTGTGGATTTCAACTCCCAGAATTCCATAGATAGCCATGCTTGCCAAGGAATTCTGGATGTTGAAGTCAACAAATCTTAAAACTGCTGAGGTTGAGAAACACTCTTCTAGACAATTTTTCTGGAATCTATGCCAATGGTACAGCATTTTATAAAAAATCTCTTTTAGGTTGCAGGCAGTTCCTCAGTTTATGAACAGTCACTTAAGTTTTTAAAGTTATGACAGACTTCCCAAGAGCTACTTATGACCTCTTTTTGAAGTTGTGACAACTGCACGCCACCTCCACCATCACATGATCACATTTTGGGTGCTTGGCAATTGGCTCAACTTTATGGCTGTTTGCTGCATCCCGCAGACACATGACCAAAATTTGTTATGGGTTTTTGCAGATTTCCAGTGCTTATTTCTGGTTTCCAGCAAAAACAACACCCATTGAGGTAAATGGATTTGCTTAATGACTATGCCATTCACTTAACAACTCCTGTAAAATTGATAAAAGAATTGGGTCCAGTCGCGTGATGCCTCAACTTATGACTGCAATGACTTATAATCGTAATTTTGGACTCAGTTTTCTGTTTTCTAGGCAGCACCTCTTCCCCTCGTCCCTCAAGGCCATCCACCCACTGAATTACAATTCCATCATTATATTGTGTCCAAAGTTCTTAGACCATTTTATCATACAATATTTCACCTATTCTTCTTCTTACTGAAAAGATACTGTTTTTGTTGCTCAAGAATTATACAATATAGCCACTTGCCTAGTAGCACTCAGCAGCTTGTTCACAAACCCTTCAAGTTCTTAATTATCATTTTATCATTGTTATTGTTACTATTACAGTATGATTCATCAACCTCTCATACATTTTATCACTGGGTCGTCTGCATTACAGGAGGCAGCTAATAATGATTTGTATTGGCCTATACTTTTACAATGTACTTCTCCTAACAATGTTCCCAATACATTGTAAAGCTGTACGTTGTCCTGTGCCTAATATTACCTTTTTGTGGGCTTCTCTTTTATAAGCTCCATTTCATTTTTTTTATTTGCTGAAACATTTGTCAAACAGCTGGGCGTTCCTAATCCAGCTCTCTCTCAATTCCATATATGATATATAGATGAACAGCCTTTCTTTCTTCCCCAACAGTTTGGCTCATCAGTTTCATAGGCAGTTTATTGTTAGGATTCCTTACATCAGCGGTTCTCAACCTATGGGTCGCGACCCCATTTGGGGTCGATTGACCATTTCACGGGGGTCGCCAAGCAAGGCTGTCCGCCATTTTTACCTCCCTTGAGCTGGGCCAGCTGGTGGTTGGCCTGCTCCGTCTCTGCTGCTTGCCAGCTACGCCTCGGCTGGCGCAGGGGGCGGAACCACGCATGTGCGGTGCTCCCGGCAGGGAAAGTCCTCGACTTACGATCGGTTGGGTAGTCCTCGACTTACGACCGGTTTAGTCCTCGACTTATGACCAGTTTAGTCCTCGACTTACGACCGGTTGGGGGTCGCGGCATTAAAAAGGTTGAGAACCACTGCCTTACATTCAGCCTTATTGGTTGTTAAAGTTATCTATAATCTCCCTAGCTTGCCCCCCTCACCCATCTTTAACACCAGAGAAACAAACTTTCCTGCAAACTTAAGACTTTGCAAGAAAACAGAAGACCCCTGTGGGAATGAAGAAGGGTTTTAGGATTGTACTGGCAGCAATTGCTACAGAAGGATGGTGGCCATATAGAATAA